AGCGAGCATGTTTGGCTAAAATATGGAACTGTCACATTTAAGCAGATATATAGGAAAGCCCCCACGATGCTTGTAACTAAACCAGCGTGTGCTGGTGTGTGATGGGATTGACCCTCACATTATAACGCCCCCAGGACTGAAAGGGCGAACATGTTTGGTGGGACGGAGATTCGAACCAGTGACCCTTAGAATGCGAATCGAGCGCCCTAACCACCTGGCCAATGTGTAGTTTTGTGCTTAACTACAAACCAACAAACAGACAAACATTGCTACTGAAAGTGTTGAAAATAATAACGTAAAATAATCAAAATATTTAGTATTTTATACTATTTATAAGACCATATAATAATATCGGAAACTTGAATAATCAATTCAAATTTTTCTGTAGACGAAACTAATTTATTGAAAGTTTCTGAACTGTATCATACATGTCCATATAAGTATAATTATATTTTGCTTCAATATATTTTTAATAATGTTAATAAAAGAAATGGAAGTACTTGAATATGATGTTGAAGAAACGTGTTGACGTTTTGTTTAAGCACTTCAGACCGTTTCAAGTAGTTCCAGTCTTAAAACAAAGCTTAAAAACTTAAAAACTGTTCTCTAGATTTCTATGTAAAACTAACCACAGAGTTTCATATAAAAATGTTAACTGCAGGACCATACCAAATTTTCAGTACTGTTTATTAAGGAATTTTGTTTGTTTTTAAACTTTCGTCCCAATATCTAAAAAAAAAGGTTAATTATCTTTATATATATATATATATACATATATATATATATATATATGTGTGTGTGTGTGTGTGTTTGTATGTATAGTTACATGTTTAGAATTAATAATACAGTTTCTGTAAAAATATATTTATTTATTGTAGCATTTAATGCACTGTTCTACCGAGCAAAGTACTAATTTGTACTAATATTTGCACTAATTTACACTGTTTATTCGGTTAGTTTGTAGTAGTCGCGTAACACAGTGCTTTGTGGAAAGTGCTTGGTTGCTTTCCTAAAGATCTGTTTGGAGAGAGGAATTTCCTAACGAACTATTTTCAATTTTTCTATAACTAAATAGTAAACAAATACTTGACGGAAAACTAACAAATTAAACATAACGGTGTGTTTAAGTAGCTTGAGAGTTGAGGATTAGTTTTTGGACTGAAGGTGACGACGACAGGAAAGGTTAGTTTCAAAGTCGTAGTTGCAAGAAACACAAACAACTTATATTCAAAACAACTTTTGAAAATAAGTTTCCTTTGCTTCTTGTTCTGTAGGATCTTTTTAGAAGTTAGTTATTACGACTCTATACAAACTAAAATCCGTTATACACGTTTGGAAGTTTGTTGTTGTAGCACTAAACAAATTGATAATTATTGCCATTCTAACCATACAGATTTATCACTTCTTCTATTCAATACCCATTCAGAAGCGTAGTATCTCAACACTACAAGAACTAAAGTTAATTGTTACCATACTAAACATTGAAGTTTGATACTCTTCAGCTATGCAAACACACACACACTCAGAAGTTTGATACTGCCATTTATAGCACGTGTGTGTGCATTTTCTTATAACAAAGCCACATCGGGCTATCTGTTGTGTCCACCGAGAGGAATCGAACCCCTGATTTTAGCATTGTAAATCCGATAACTTACCGCTGACTCACCGGGGGATTATACAGCAGCACATACACACAAACTTAATACACCCAAAAATATGTTACTATCATTCTACACAAAATTACCACTTGTTTATTCAACAGTAAACAGGTGTAACAGGTTTATATATCACACTACGCACACACACAGGGAACTATTATTACACTATCACACCACATATACTCAAAAATGTGGTGCTTCTATACATTATACATATTTTCACGATTATCTTTACTTTAGTTTACAGAATAAAAAGTCTCATACAGCTACACACATAATTAATTACAAACACGTGGAAGATTTTCAATGAAGCATGAACTTTCCACTGAATACGTTTGTCACTTATGCTGTACTAAAAACGCCCTCGTTAGTTCCCTGTATTAACACAAGCTGGTTCGTGGAATTTAAAGACTCCCACTGGCTAATACAATAAATAAATAAAAGGTTTACCCCGAAAGCATATTCTATTCTTTCTTCTCAAAAAGTCACTCACCCTGTGTAAGAATACATCACAAGACTAAATGAACTCGTATAACTAGTTACTCTATCTGCATTGTTGTATTAGTCACCTTCTTTAACACCTTTTTGGCTAATTCCGGATTATCTCAGCCTTACAGATACCTAAAGCTTTCATGTAGTTTGGTGTATAAGAATTCACTCTTGTTAGTTTGGAGATATACAGGTTTTTAAATCAGTAATATCAGGAGGATTAAAGTCGAGGAGCGAGTGTAAAAAACGAAAAATATTCGTTTGCTGGTTCAGGACCCATGAAGCGTACCAGCCAAACCAGGTGAAATCTCACTTTATATTGTTCTGAATGATTCATGAGTGAGGGTGTGACTAACAACAAACGGAAAGGCCTACACGGTTCATATGTATGATTTATTCCTAAGACAAACGAAGATGAATAGTGTTAAAACCAGGAATCGTGTATCGGTAATTTGACATTTGTCAGCAGTTATGCACATTCCTAGTAGGTGACAAAACCAACAGTTATATTGGATTTTATTATTGGTTTTCTTACTGATTTTGTTTGTTTTTTGTTACGTACAAATTTATACAATGGTTATACATGCTGTGCCTTCGCTCTATAGAATAACGTTAATTAACGGGCTTACAACACTAAAATCCGGGGTTCGATTCATTGCTGTGGAAACAGCAGATATCCCAATGAGGCTTGGCTCTAAGCAACAAACAAACCATGTGCTGTACTTACCGCTGGTCTCAAAACCCTGTTTTTGGCGTTATAAGCCCACGGTCTTAACGCTATTCCACCGGAGGGGTAGTGGTTTTTTGGTAGGTATTTATAGTACGCATGTAAAAGATAGGTAGACAATGGTAACTAATATCGTAATGGATAATTTTAAGAATTCCCATATTGATTTTATTCATTTTAGCAAGTTATTTTACAAAAGAAAATACGTAAATCCCAGTTAAAAAACAAGAAAAATACAAACGCCTTCAGCAAGTAAATCACCCTCATTCTTAATTTACCTCTTCCACTACCCCCTCTCTTCAAAGAAAAGTTTTACCTACCAAAAGTGCTTGGGTTACCAAGTTTCTTTAAACAAGACAGAGTAAATAATAGTCAAATATCATATGCTTTTGTATATGGAAAACATTTCTTAGTTATGTTTCTTCCAATGCCTATCTCATGTTATCCTGTTAGCACTTTAATCATTTGTATTTTGAGATATTTCGACATCTTAACGACGTTATGTAGATTAACATTATAATATACTCGAATTTCCCGTTAAAATGTTGTAAGAAGCTTTACTAGTACTTTCTAGAACAAAATATATTACTTTAAACGAGGGTGTTTCGTTACGTATACTTAATTTTGTCCAAAGATGTTATGAAAGGAAATTATGTTTCACTTAGTTATATTATTCGAAAGAAATCTTTAAAGAATGTTTGTTTGTTTTTAATTATGCACAAAGCTACACAAGGGCTATCTGTGTTCTGCCCACCACGGTATCGAAACCCGGTTTCTAGCGTTGTAACTCCGCAGATATGCCGCTGTGCCACTGGGGGCATTTTTAAAGAAATGGTCTCTGATGTTTCAAATCGTCTCCAAACTAATCGAAACAAGAAATCTAGTAGGAAAAATCTAAATATGAGTCGTTGTTGTTTTTAATATCTGCGAAATCTAGTGCGACAAATCTAAAGATGAGTCGTTGTTGTTTTTAATGATATCTGCGAAATCTACTGCGATATTAAAAACAACAACGACTCATCTTTAGATTTCTGCAAAATATACTGCGACAAATCTAAAGATGAGTCATTGTTGTTTTTAATTTCTGCAAAATATACTGCGACAAATCTAAAGATGAGTCGTTGTTGTTTTTAATGATATCTGCGAAATCTACTGCGATAAATCTAAAGATGAGTCGTTGTTGTTTTTAATATCTGCGAAATCTAGGGCAGCAAATCTAAAGATGAGTCGTTGTTGTTTTTAATATCTGCGAAATATACTGCGACAAACCTAAAGATGAGTCGTTGTTGTTTTTAAATATATCTGATTTTATGCTTTTGTTTTTTTTTCAAACAAGAGTGGTGTCACAGTTCAACGTCTGATAAGGATGTCACACATACATCTCAGCCATAACGAAGTGTCTCTGCTGCACCAGCCTCAACAATATACGATTCACGTGCAGTTCTATTAAATTACTGTTAACGTTGGCACTTCCTAATCTTCTTACTCTGTTTGCTGACTTTATTAGTTCACTCCGTAGCTGCGTGGTAATACACCGAGACTCTGTATTTTCATCTTAGCACAGCTGAGTAGTAATCTTCGGAAAAGTATCTTTTCGACTGTAATTAATGTCCAAAAACATCCTTTCGAGTCAATAATTCCATAGAGGATCAAATAATTCGAACGAATATAGTTAAAGCAATTATTCCAAAGCGATTTTTTTTTTTTGCCTGGCATATGATTCGGACTACTGGTTTCGTCGTGATGTTGGTTTGGAGGTTGATGAATATTACAGCTCATAACAAGTTTGATCTTCTGTGAATCAAGTTCTTTTTTCGGTAAAATTTGAAAAGACTGCCGTATCGATGTGCGTGTATTGGAGAATAAGCCTAATGTAAGCATACTTCGTTCTCATTAATACGATGTTCATGTTATCACGGATCATTTCTATTTAAGTTATCACATTTTTTTGCAAATCTAGAATCATGTTTGATGAGGAGAGAGTCATCATGTTTGTCAGAAGGTGGCGTCGCTTCTGTTATGTAACTTATCAATAGGTATTAAGTTTATATGTTCACAATTATAAACTTGAGAAGCTTTGGTTTGGCGTAATATTCTTGTTTTATATTTTTTACATTATTATAACGGTTTGATAAAAAAATAGATGTCTTCATTCTAATCGGTAGAAGCAATAAAACAATTTATATTACAACTAATGATATTTAGTCTTATATTAGGCTTATTATATTTTGACACTACATTCTTAATCTAGTCCCTTAGGGCTTTTCAAGAATTACAGTTGTTAACTATTATGATCGTTGTATCCTAGCCAGCGTGAAGAGCTCTAGATTGAACGAAACGCGTCGTCGGCAATGGATATAGTGTAGTTCCAATACGATTCTAATTCTTTAAAATCTATAAAGAACTAGACTGAGAAAGTAGTGTTAAAATATATTAGACCTAACAAAATGTCTTATGACAAATATATTTAATTATACTCGTACTTCACCAGCTTGTAAAAGGTGTTCACACTAAAATAATTAATATTACACGTCTCCTCAGTTCCTAACTGTGATAAAATGCTCTAAAATATAATCATGAATTATATTCATAAAATTGTTTTAGCATTCCTAAGTATAAACAAAACGGTTTTAATGTACTATTGCACTGGTATAATACTCTTTATTTATAGTGTTTTTACGTGTTTACACAGTGAGTAATTAGTGCTTATTCTTTCATAAAAAACCCTTCTTTATAAGCATGTGTAATAAATAGCTGTTATTTATATATATATAAATGTTATTTATACGTATATACAGTTTTTTGTTCATTACCAGTCCTCGTCATTACCGTTAAGTGACCATAAATAGTTTCCGTTATGGCTTATTGGTAATTGGCAATTTTGTTCGTGTTTTTGTAAGTCTCATTGTGAACGTTTTGTCTTTGATTTGTATAAATTTCATTATTGTTATATACTGCTGACTTGATCGCCCATTTACAATTAACGTAATTTATATTACAATGACTATTGGTATATATATAAGTCTTATTTATTAAAATATATGGCCCAGTGTCTTCTGCAATGATAACAACAAAATAAACATAAACGGGTACAAATTGTTATTAATTCTTTCTTTTTTTTTAATTTTGCGCAAAGCTACACGAGGGCTATTTGCGCTAGCCGTCCCTAATTTATCAGTGTAAGACTAGAGGGAAGACAGCAAGTCATCACCACTCACCGCCAACTCTTGGGCTACTCTTTTAACAACGAATAATGGGATTGACCGTCATATTATAACGCCCCCACGGCTGGAAGGGGATTCGAACCCGCGACCCTCAGAATGCAAGTTGAGTGCTCTAGCCACCTGGCCATGCTGGGCCTTTTTTATTAATTACCAGAACAGATAATGCGTTTCTTTATATACGCAACTTTCACTAACGTATTTCCCGAGAAAGAGTTTGTTATTGAAGCCTCCCGTGACAGCTTTATATAACTGTTTGCAATATACACAGTTATATAATAACTTTGTCTACTAAATGATTCAATTTACGTCTTGAAATGATTTTACGGAAGATATTTTTCTTTAATATTTTCATACTTAGACAATTTAATCAAACAAAGTGGATATCTTGAACAGAGTCACGTAGGATTGGATAAAGAACTGTGATACGTAATCACGCGTACAGCACGTATTTTCTCGGCGAATCGTGTTGAAACTTCTAGTTTCAAGTAATGATTTTTGAACAACCTCTTGATACGTCCCAAGCATGTGTGTTGTACAGCACCATTTCATCATTCGAACGGTTATATTTTAACTCGTGTTATGTCAGCTTCTGGTTGCACGGTTTTAATATCGAATATTAGCTTTTTGTAGACGTTTTCCGATAACAAGTTATATATATCTTCAAACACCTTTTAAACGTATAGCATCTGAATGCGTTTTTCAATGCCGTACACCGGAAAACACTGAAGGTGAGTGTTCCAAGCGAATGTTTATCGAAACTAATACAGCGTGTTATATATACTTGATCAATAAATCTGTACTTCATCAGTTAGTATAAAACAAATATAGACTGCTGACGAAAATTGTAAAAGTAAAGTTAATGAACAGTATACACCCCATTTTACCAGATGCTTTCTTGTTATAAATGTATCAAAACAAGTAATTAAATCTATGTTAAAAAACTGATAAACTATTCACTATTTGTTTGTTAGCTTTATCTTTCCGTTACTTTTTAGCTAAATCTTTCTACTTCACTCGCAAAATAAGTTAATGCAATAGAAATATTTATTTCAACAATAATTGAAAATATAAAGGTTTATTCGTACTAGGTACTCGGGGGACGGACGTCTAATTTGAATGAAAGCGATATTTCTTAAACAAATGATGAATGTGGATCAAACAGTCAAACGTCACATCTACTTCGAGGCGCCATCTCACGGAATATATATATGTATATATATATATATATGGTGAATGACTAACAATAATTCAAAATACTTCCAGGCATTTCTGTAGAAATAATGTAATGCCCTATATTACTAGTGTTGTAAATACCTAATATTTATAACTTTATTCAGAAACAGTCTTGCTTGCGACACGTACTCTATAACATTAAGTTTCAATAGTTAATATTCAAAAGACTTTCTCGGTTTATGTGTTTTTTTGTTTTCTTTTCAGCTATCTATATAATTAAAATGGTAACGGGTGTGCTTGCGTGGGAAGCTTTTTAAACTTCGTTAAACTATGCACAAATTAAATTAGGAGTAGGGAAGTACGTACAATGAACGACACCATATGCGTAAGGGTGGGGTGTGTGTAGATAATACTATGAATTCCATAGAGAAAGTTACTTGGGGAAGCCCCCCAGTGGCACAGCGGTATGTCTGCCGACTCACAACGCTAGAATCCGGGTTTCGATACCCATGGTGGGCAGAGCACAGATAGCCCATTGTGTAGCTTTATGCCTAATTACAAACAAACAAACAAGTACTTGGGAAATGGGCCTGTCATTCCTCATATCCCATCTCGGACAGCAGTGTTTATGTTTCATTCTTTTTCTTTCTTTTTAGACTATTAGAGTACTGGTACCGTTACCCCGTTGAGTTTTAATATTTTATCCCGATACCCAGGTTTTAAGTCATTAGATCTGGTATCTCTTACCAGAGAAGTGTATCGATTTGTTATTTTTAATCGGACCATTCGACTCCAAGTGTATTTTGTACTATAGGTGTTTGATGGGTATCACGTATTATGGAATACGTTTAACCTACTTAGTTTTAACCCTGTAGTCACTAAGATGCACGACCACCAGATTCGTTCAGAATTCTACGTATCTACCCTCATACGTGAGTAGTCTAGGATTACCATTTAACTATATCAATTACCTTAAATACACAACACTGCCTTTACATTTTATAAATTTTGTGCATTCAAGTACACAAAATACTACAAGAACAAAAATGTTTCGTACGCAAAACACGAGTTTGACCCTTCGTAGATATTGAATTATCTATTATCGTATATGTTTCGGTTACCTGTTTGAAGAACAAAAATTAAAAATCACGGAAATGTGGGATAAAAGACGTCTAATACATTTTGTAAAATATTTTAACGTATTCGTTTAAGTATTATATTAGCTTTTGTCACCAAATGTTTAAACTCGAAAATGTTTTGCGTTTAATTGTACTTCCTATTGCAGCAAACAGCCATAGTTACGTTTGGAAATACATTGTTCTTGTGCTACGTTAACGAGCACCAAACGAGGGTGTCGATACGAACTATCATGAAATTCTAGTGAACTATGTGGAGGATGGGCCAAGTTAAAAGTTTCCAATGTTCATTGCAACAAACTGGTGTGTCGATACGAACTATCATGAAATTCTAGGCTGGGCCAAGTTAAAAGTTTCCAACGTTCGTTGCGCCTCATTCTTTTACCAGGAAATATCTTCTTCCAAATAGTCATGCTCTTCATTTACTAGGAAATATCTTCTCCCAAATAGTCATGCTCTTCATTTACCAGGAAATATCTTCTCCCAAATAGTCATGCTCTTCATTTACCAGGAAATATCTTCTCCCAAATAGTAATGATCTTCATTTACCAGGAAATATCTTCTCCCAAATAGTCATGCTCTTCATTTACCAGGAAATATCTTCTCCCAAATAGTCATGCTCTTCATTTACTAGGAAATATCTTCTCCCAAATAGTCATGCTCTTCATTTACCAGGAAATATCTTCGCCCAAATAGTCATTCTCTTCATTTACCAGTAAATATCTTCTCCCAAATAGTAATGATCTTCATTTACCAGTAAATTTTCCATTTTTGAAAATCATACTTATATTTACTATCTTTTCCCTTCGATATAATAATAACTCTATATTTTTAGACCTTGACCTTAACATTCCTTGCGTTTATTCGATAACTTTTTAAGCAACAGGTCTTTTTTTAGGAATTTCATCTCATGTTAATGTACACGTTTGTTATTCGCATAAACCAAATAAGACCAAATTTTTTGGACATGTAAACTGACATGTTCAGCTTTCTAAGGAGATCCAAACCGCACCACCAACCTTTTAGTTGCTAATTGAGAATCAGGTTTTTATATATATATACAGTTATTGACACACACTCCTGATGAAAAATCAGGAGTACGAAAAAATCGGTGAGTTATGTCTACTGTCTTCCTATCATGAATATATTACATACCCAGAATGGCTTCATTTATTTCAACTATAAATCAAGTTTAACTTTTAAAGACACAAATGTTATTTATTCTCATATAAGCAACAGTTCTGGCCACAGCGATAACGTTAGATAAGAATCGCAAAAATTAATTTATCTCTTTGGCAAACTTCCTATCGTAGAATTCCAAAAAAAAAGAATGAAAAAATTATTTAAATACTGGACACTTTCCAAGTACTTATTATAAATTTTTATACAATTTATCACTGGCAAATTGTAGCCAAACATTCTTGCTAATGACCGGAACAAGATATTGTGTTCGAAGTTACCTTACCTTAGCGAAAAATAACCTTGGCGTGCTGTAGTATGATATATGTATATAATGGTGGTGACACTTTGTTCCATAAATGCGATAAATCTGTGTCATAACACATTTGGTGTTATATCTACAAGAATGACACGAATGTTTGAAGAACAACTCATTTTGGAATGGAAACAATACATAATGTTATTTACCTAGATTTTTTTATGAATAATCACATACTCTGCTTGGATAGGCTTAGAAACATAAAAGTCATGTGACTTTTTTATTCATTTCGCGCATCGCGAATTTACTAATGAAAGAAAAACTCCGCTGGCTCTACGGTTTTCTTTACTAAAGTACAAATGTATACACTTAAATGTAAGATCCTGGTACTTATGGCATTCGACTTGCAAACTAGGGGTCACGTGTTCAAACTCACTCACGAAACATGCTCGCCGTATAAGCTGTAGGGGCATTAGAATGAGAGAGTTAATCCCATTTTACATTGTTAAAGAGTGGCCTAAGAGTTGGCGGTGTGTAATGTTGAGAAGATACCCCCTCTCTAGTCTATCACTTTTAAATTAGGGGCGGATAACGCAAATAGGCCTCGAGTATTTTTGCGCAAAAGTCAAGAAACATACAAAAACAAACTCTGTTAACTGATAAGTCAGTTTATTCTCAGATGATTTTATCGAAAGCAACTCATTTCAGCAACTGATTGTAAAGTTCGTATGAGAAAGCCGAAATGTCATATGATACGGTGTAATAGTTTTCATATTGAGGAATCAAAGGCAAAATTATCATTTTATAATGTTTGTCGCTGTGCTAGAACTTGGCTTCTTTGTTTGTAATTTAGCACAAAGCTACACAATGGGCTATCTGTGCTCTGCCCACCACGAGTATCGAAACCCGGATTCTAGCGTTATAAGTCCGCAGACATACCGCTATGCCACTGGGGGGCTAGAACATGGCAAAACGCCAAATAATAATATTCGCTTATAAACTATGCTAAAAATTTTTAGCAATATTTTAAACCAAATCGGTTTTAAAGCAACGAACGACTAATTAAAACTTAAGTCTTAAGTATTATTGTTTACAATTCTGCTACCTGATTAAGGGACACGTTTACCGTAATTCCGTTTTAAGAATTAATAGTCCATACCAGTGGTTCCCAACCTGCAGTACATGTATCCTTGAGGGTACCCGAGAACCTTTGAAAAATAAAACAAGAGAATGAAATAAACCACAAGCTTCGAAATGGACAACTTTTGGGTGAGTTACCAACGTATTCCACTAACCAAGACTAAACGTTTGCGAATTGTTGACTCACCCATAACTTTCTTATGATTAACCTTTTTGTTGCGTTTGTGTGTGTGTGTGTATATATGTGTGCAAATTATATATGTCCGGAGATCCCGACTGGCTCAAAGGTCTGATTGGAGGTGCGCTGCATAAAAAGATTGAGGACCTGTGCTATACTATTACCTATATCTAATTACTAATTAGTTGCTAATAGTCTATTACTGGATGCATATTACTAACAGTGTTATATCCGTCGTGACTTCAGTAAACCTGAGTAGAATTGTATATGGTGTAAGAAGCAGCATTTGTTTCTAGGTCTTCTTGTTAAAAAAAAAGAACCAGGTGTTATTTATTGTTTCTCTCTACTTCACTTTCCAAAGTCATAATCAGAAATTTTTGTATACATAAAAATAGATGTGCTTCCAACTAGAGTGGACCATTGCTTAATGCTTCTCTTGATTCTATCTCATCATCATCTTCTTCATCGGGATTCGGTCCATGTTTTGCAACAGGGAGGGTCAGGTTCCGGGTAGACCTCTTCCTCCCTTTTTGGAATTATTATTTTTTGCACTGTTACTGATGTATCTATTATAATAATACTCAGTTTTTTATGTCGTGAAAATGTGCGCGCGCGCACCTTACTGTCTAAATACGCATGCGCACGAACTTCATTTCAACGGTTGTAAACAAAAGACGGATGTAAAAAAATATTTTAAAAAACTTTTGTAGAACAGCATATTGAGCCTTATCAAAGTTTTTAAAAAGGTCTATCGTTAGGTGGTAGAATAATGTTATAAGTTTATTCACTGACAGTATTAAGTACGGTAAAGTATAGCCCTGGATAAACTTAAGCAAAAAGCGTACACAAGTTACAGAGGAAGTTTTATTACACATACCCATTCCTACCTTGTTTCCTCACTTTTTAGTGCACCCAGTTCTACACTTTCCTACCTAGCTCACTACTAACATGCTGCATGTCGTCCTACAAACTTTGATCAACAGTTGTTAAGAAAACGTGTGTTTTTAGTGGTAGAATGATACGAAAACCTCTTACATTTGTGGTTCCGCTCCCGTTTCTATTGAAAGGCTTAAATCACTCCTTTAGAGCCGCCTCTTCCCCCCATAAAGATTAACCATTTGTGAAGTCTATGATTCCACCTCATTTTGACTACTGTTTCTGTTTTGAGCAAAACAGTCATTATGTGACTCAAGTGCTAACAAATCATTTAATTAATTAAGCAGCAAGTAAACTGGGAAGTGATCTATTACTAGAAAAATACTAAATATAGTAAAAAAAAGAAAACCTTTAAAAAAGTACTGCACCTATGAAACTATATTTAAAATGAACTATATTTTGACGTAAGGTTATCATAGTTTCAAACGTTGTGTGATCTAGAGAGAAATGAAATTATTATAAAAAGGAAGACATAGATCTGTTTGATTTGTTCTTAAGCGCAAAGCTACACAATAAATTATCTGTGAGACCGTAATTAAATAACTCAGTGAACTTTACATGTGAATCCCCCTCCCCAGTGGCTCAGCTGCAAGTGTGAAAGCTTATAACGCTAAACACCGAGTTTCGACACTTGTGGTGGGTCACAGACACGCTCGTGCTCACGCGCGTGCGTCAAACAAAGATATTTCTGTCTGTGATTTCTATTTGTAATATAAGGAACCACTTCTATGTAGTTTTGCGCTAGCTTGCCTCATTAAAAAGATTCGTGTCATGCTGTGTTCCATTTCTGTGTCTGACATGCGCACGCACACACGTGCGTGTCTGTCTGTGTGGCCTACCACGAGTGTCGAAACCCGTGTTTCGTGTCATAATCTTTCGGACTTGCGGCTGAGTCACTGGGGAGGCGGGGGGGGGGATTCACCTGTCAAGTTCACCGAGTTATCTAATTACGGTCTTTATCGAATACAATTGTGTTTCAAGCAAATTTTGGCTTTAGTTTGAAGATTAAATATATATTTAACTTTAAAGCGTTTCTCAAAAACAAGACATGTTTTACCTTACGTATTTATATGTGCTATAAACTTGTTAACTGTACATAATTGTACAAGAAATAACGGAAAGCGAGATCAATTTGAAGTTGTTGAAAATTTTCTACTTTATTTCTGAAATTAGCGTACATTTCATCAAATCGAGTATCTAATGACATTACAAGTACACTCGCACATTTCCTGTCACTTTTGGCCCCCAGTGGCACAGCGGTATGTCTGCGGACTTAGAACGCTATAACCCGGGTTTCGATACCAGTGGTGGGCAGAGCACAGATAGCCCATTGTGTTGCTTTGTAAGTAATTTCAAACAAACAAATACCTGTCACTTTTTAAAAAAAAATCAAGTTTATTTATTTATATATCGTATTCTTTGGTCTCATTTTTCAGGTTGGAACTAGACAGAATAAGGCTTTAGTGGCACCAGAATCCGAAGTTTTAGATGTGACTTTGGGTTATTTTGGTGTTGGAAATAGATTGTTTCACCAACTATGGGTAACCCCACAGAATTAGAACAGACACCACAGACTGAACGCAACTCAACTTCAACTGGTAATAATGGATCTGGAATCATTCTCTATGTTACGAGAGAAAGTGGTTCATTTCCGCCTTCATATTCAGAGAGTCAGAGTAGTTTGGGCGAACCCTCTTCGTCCTCGACAAATGAGACTTTAGTCCTGTCCACCTCGTCAAACAACCTGAACAGTATGACGCAATCTCCATCTTGCAGCCAAACTGAAAACAATGATATGAATGATACTGCAGAACAAGAAAACGGGAATAATTCCATCTCGGTGAACGCTGAGAGCGACGCGACGAGAAGTGTGAGTGAAGAGGTCATGACAACACGCATCTTGTGGCCTCACAGTACCTCGTGCACGTTTGCCTGTTTTAGTTGTATCGTTGGAGTATACAACATCAACAGGTTTTCTCTGTTGGTTTATTTGTATAAAGGTGAGTGTTTTATCTGTTTCTCTGTATAAATTACCTGTGTAAATATACAGGTTGGGGGCACAGTTACGTACATGGTACGGGACATTATCCCCTGTAGACGATGTTTGCATATGTGTGGCATATAAATGCAAGTTTTGCTGCTAACGTAGTACCCCCCCCCCCAAGCATATCCACTAGTAAATACTGGTAGTCCGAGTAAGTGTTTCTTAAATGTGACCTGTGCCCTGTTGACGAGTAGGCCCCTCTACTGACGCTGTGTAACTCTACCTATCATTGTTCTCTATCGGTGAATGCACAAAACATTTGTTCTATGTTTGAAAGTTGTCGTGGACCCAGTTTCAGTCAAGTAACTACTACATTTTGCCGTAGTGATGATGTTATTGGTTGCAAGAACTCACAGCGATGCCATCATTACGTCTGCTACAAATAGTAGGTCATTTCTTCTACAATGTTACTTTCCCATGTAAAGTTTAACCCTAGAAATATTAATTGCGAATGAGAAGTACGAATCTATCTATGGGAAAAATAAGGATCAGTGATATAAACAACCAAGATACACAATTGTTTATATACGACAAATTAATGGAACAATCTCAGTGATAAGATTCAAAAGAAACGAAATAAACCAAAAGTATACTAAACAAATTCGGTATGTACATGTTGGGTGGAACTTATAAACCATAGGACGTGTGAAATAAAATTCGACATGTAAACAAAAATGAAAAATCAAAGAGGAAAAGGGACCGTGGAAAATTTGTTAAAATAATATGTTCTGTTAGAAAAACTTAACATAATACCAGCATTTAAAGAAAAAAAAAACGTATACACATGCATATTTATGACACAGCCTGTGTAGTTTTGCCTCAAGTAACGAATACTTTTCTCATTATTTTATTAAGTTAAAGCCAAAATAAAACTTGAAAAACTGATACTTTTTCTATTTTCCTTGGTTAAGAATGACGCAGAGTGACAGACAAAAAAGACATCGAACACGTTGTTTTTATTTTAGTCGTTGTGATCATGACGTTGTATGTTAAGAAAGATCTTACGAAACATTAGAAAATTCTATTGTGAACCTGTATGTCATATTTCATAACAGGAAAGCTGTGACCTTATTATAAGGTATTTAAAACAGTGAAATATATGGCAAATAGATAAGAATTATCATTATACTAACATTAGAAAAATACTTTGTTACGATTTCCTAAACTTTGGGAATTCGGTTTAAATACAAAATAAACATAGCAATGTACTAAATTCATAAATTATCACTATTATCAAAATTAGTTGTTAGACTTTCACTATTTCCAAACAGCGCGAAAAACTATTTTTCAATAATTTGGTGAAATGAATGATATAGAAATAGCTTAATAAACAAGCACTTCATGAAACATCTTTTTCTTTTTTTGCACTTCCAGCATGTTTTATTGTCGAGTTCCTCATCTTGTCCCTGGTACTTGGAATTCCGTTCCTATGTCTACAGATGACTTTAGGACAATATATAGGATCTGGACTGGTAGATATGTGGTACATTTCTCCAGCATTTAAAGGTAAGTTTATACATCCGGTAGGAATATAGGGTTACAGATATACTTTGCAGATGACCTTAGAGTAATGTAAAAGATCCGGGCTGTTAGATAAGTAGTAGATTTCTTCAACATGTTAAGGTGAGTTTATACATTCGGTAAAAATTTAGTGTTACGGACATACTTTATAGTAGCTGTTTATAAAAATACATTTAAAAAACAAGAAACATCTAAATGTTTGTATTAACTAAAAAGACGTATAGATAGACAGGTGTATACCGGTATGTGAAACGTTCTACGCTTTTGTATTTATCTAGGTATTGGATTTGCTCTTCTTTACGCTTACATTGTTCTAGGCGTCTATACCGCAGTGCCTGTTGCCTGGCTTTTCGTGTATTTCAAAGATTCCTTTATTACATCCAATCAAAAATACCTCTGGGAAACGTGTCAAGGAAATTTCTCCAGAATCTGTAAGTGTAAACAATTTATATCTTTTGTATTACATATATATATATATATTCGGATGGGAAAATAAACATTTTTTATAAATTCAAAAAAATCTTGATCTGGGATTCAGAACTTACAAGATGGGTATAACCTTTGTATTTAATTCAATGACATTGAAAAACAAAGGATTATGTTAAGAAAAGTGCAGCGTCTTGTAACAAAACCATTAAGTTCACCAAGGTAAAATGCTTCCAATTATACCTACCGTTTACTCTTCTCGTATACTTAAAGCAGCTATTCCATCCAAAAACATGGCGTTCAAGTCGTCGAACGGCAGATTCTATAGATTTCTGTGCGATCAGTCTGTTAAAACAGTCGCTGGGAAACCGTCGTCCTGGTAAGCTAGATGACTTATGAAAAGCACGATGGAAGATGGGGTATGCTTGAAACTTGACGGCCTTACAATGGAGCTTTTTGTAATATAAACTACGCTTCAGAGCTATTGTGAAGAAGCACAGTCGTCAGATAGAGTATGACTGGATGCGTACTCATCTTCTGTTTAATAATTTTAATTTCAGTTAACATTTTTCTTCAATAACAACATTCAGTCTTAATCATTGTGGAGGGGGATGTAAATCCCGTTCTACCCGACTTTCTCTTTCATGTAATTTTAGGTACAGTGATTACATTTAATGTTCGAAATAAAAAAATTGTTTTTATTTATGAAAATAGTAAAGCAAACATTCACTTAATATCAATCTTAGAAAAACGTGTCATTTGATTTTGTGAGGATTTCATATGAATTATAGATGGACGATCATGCTGAGAATTCTCGTTTCTGCATTGCATATTTTCAATAACATTCACCAGCCAATTATGCTCGAGCTGTGAATGCGAAGGTTCATGGTTGACATCTCGCTGCTGGAAAAACGCGCTCCGCACTTTGGAATTGTGGGTACACTATTACGGTGTTGCTCAAATTTCACTATTTTGCGAGATAAGAGTAACCCAAGAGTTGGTGATGGACGCTGTTCATTAGCTGCCTTCCTTGGACTCTGTCAATTGAAAATTATGGATATGTGCAGATAGTAAAATACTAAAATAAACAAGTAAACGTACCAGTAATAGTGGGATTGACTGTCACATTATAACGCCCCCACGGCTTAAAGGGCGAGCATGTTTGATGGGACGGGGATCCGAACCCGCGACCTGCAGATTGCGAGTCGAGCGCCCTAACCACCTGGCCATGCTGGGCCAATTATGTGTAGTACAGATATCTATGTGTAGTTTTGTGTTTAATAACAAACAGACAAATAGCAATACAATATTTAAATAACCTTACGTTTCCACTAGCTGCTATGATAAGTTGAAAAAACATGCATTTTTGTGTGTGTGTGTGTGTTCATACGTTGCCAGAATATTCATTTCGCATTTTCATTCCTTGATCCCGCTAAGTACATCGTCATCATATCATTTCTTGTAATGGCCTTTGGTATTGGTTAAAAACATCTGGCCTAATACTGCTTAAACATCAATAACATTCCACGTAGCGTTATATTCATCAAAATACTACTCTTTCAAATCTGTAATAAACAAAGCATTAAAGCAGATAGTGGAAGAAAGAGTCTAGTATACAAGTTTACACAAAGTTTTCCGATTCTTGTGTTCCTCGAATCCTGTAAACTAATTAAATTAGTTAAACCTGTGTTTGTTTTTATTGGAGAAAAACAACACGTCTGATAACACGTATATAGTATAAAGTATATACTATGTAGTATATAAACTTTAAGTGTTAAAGCTTTGAAGGAAACTAACACATGTCTGATAATACATACAGTAAAAAGTATGTAGTATACATAAAGGCAGTTTTGATGAGCCCCCCGTTGGAACAGCGGTACGTCTACGGACTTGCAACGTTAAAATCCGGGGTTCGATTCCCCGCGGTGGACACAAACGAGCAGCTTTGAGTAAATGTTACGCGTGTGATTATATATATATTGAGTTAAAGATTTGAGAAAAACTGACAGGTCTGATAACACATTTAGTAGAAAATACGTAATATACGTTAAATAAGAGCTTTGGTGAAACTAACGCATATCTGATAACACATATAGTGAAAATTACGTTATATATATATATTAAGTGAGGAAGGTAACAGCTAACACATTTGATACATACTATTACGTGGTAAAAGTTAATTAAGTGGAAACTAACATATATTTAGTAACACATGTGGTAGAAAACACGTAATATTCGTTACATTTCTTTCTTTGTTTTCTTGGTATCACTCTTGCCTAATCGGACAGTAGTACATGATTGGCTCCAAAGTGTACATCGTCTTTCTGCGGCAGAGGGATGTGGACACTGAACGTTTCGAGTCACCGTACAAACAGTTTAACTACGAGGAACTGAAAAAAAACTTAGTGAAAACACTTACACATTTCGCGAGAAATCGCTGCTATTCGTAAAAGCAATAGCTTATAATCTTTAAGTTTAACGAACACATTTTTAGCTAAGGCATAGCGTCTCATAGAATGAGTACAAACTTTTAGCTCATAGCTCCGTCATCTCTTAACCGATTTGAGATGTAATTAAAGTTTTGGACTCAAGAGATCAAACCCTTTCGATTGATGTATTTGACCATGCCCACGGTCTCATAGAGTAACTTAGTCTAATCCTGCCTCAAAAGATTTAATTTGATGGTAGGCTGGTAGAGATCCTGATGACTAATAAAATTGAATCGAGTATACTCCGCTTGGTATTGCTGGCACACAAAAGTATTGCTAATAAGAAGGAAAAAAAGTTTCATAGATTAATTTACTCCAATCCTGCCTAAAATATTACAGGTACCGGGGCTGGATTCACTCTTTATAACACAACTGACACCTACCACGTGGTAGTCGACGAGTGTAGAAAGAAAACAAAACTCATAACTTACACTTTTGTTTTCTAATTACAGATTGTGTTGAAAGCCAAAACCAGTCATCACTGGATTTCGTCGGATGGTCAGTTTCATCTTATTTTCAGTAAGTCCATTCCCTTATGAAGAAATGTTATAATTTTAGCGTATACCAATAACATGTAACACGATTAACAACGAGATTTAATTAGTTAGTATTTTCTTAGTGCAGAGCTACAAGATTGGCTATCTGTACTTTCGCTCTACACAGCGACAAATCGAACCCCGGATTTTTGCGTTGTAAGTCCGTAAACATTCTGGGTGACATGAGCTTTGAGTTTAAGAACTAATCTTAAGTACATGTCAGAAGAAAATCCTAAGTTCTGACCTAAAAATATAATTGTAATATCACAAACAGTTTTATTTTAGGCCTACATCAAGTATTATGACATTATACGTGTGTTTTTATTGTTGTTGTTTACACTTTTTCTGTAGTTTAAAATAAATGGAAATGCTAATATCTCAGAAAAATTGATGACATAATTCTGTTCTCAGTAAAAATGCAGCCATTTTGGCAGATGCTGCTTCATTTCTGTAATTCAGATGCATTTCTGAGTCACTGAAATTGTCTGTAATTTGTAAACTACCCTAAAAATGTATAAATTCCTCGATACAGGTTTGGCTAGAAAAACTTGATATCCGATTTCATTTTAACCACTGAAAGAACCACTCACAAAACGATTTATCTATTGATAACAAGTTTCAATCTGGTACACAGGATTCATTTTTTAAGTATTGTCCTTTCTTCTGATAGTGGCAACGTGCTACACAGAAACGGCTACAGCAATCAGATGGCAAATTTGAGATTTGAAATAGCGTTTAATCTAGCTGTTGTCTGGTTAATTGTCTTCCTCGTCCTCAGCCGTGGGAATCAGTTGTACGGAAAGGTGAGACACTTCTTTTCTTATTTTAGGTACTATGGCATAACTTATGGAAAATAAAAATGTTTAATCTAGTTATTGATACGTATTTGTAAAATGAGTATGTTCACCAAAAATAAATTAATTTTCCTACATACTTCTGCAAAAGTAGTTCAGTGAATAAAGCATGGTGAAAAGTTAAAGTAAAATAACAATTGTTACGTATTAGAATTTTAAAGAGCCTGAAATTGAGTTAACTGATAAATTTAAATTTAGTAGTTAAATTTTACTTTGGATTTAGTAGTTAAGTAAAGGCTGATATATAGTCACTTTATGATATTTGCCAACAAGATTGATACACACAGTTTTCTTTGTTAAATATAGACACAACAATACAATTTACAATAACAGTTATTATAAATAGTTATTACAAACAATGATTTATAAACAAAAGTTTCACAAACTTACAAGCAATATAAAGTCTTCCTTTCAGTCTGGAATTTCTTTGATATCTTATCGAGGGTTCACGATGAGCGAGTTAATTACGAGTTGATGTAGGTACGATTCGCTTAACGGAAGCTAGCTAGCTTTGTCCTTCGTTATTTATCGGCCACACACGTTGTGTTTTCCAT